GATTTTATTTTTAAAACCATGAATAATTTTTTTTTTAATCGGTGTTTGTGGTTTTCATTCGTAATTTTTTAAAGTTTTTTTTTTTTTGAACCAATCTAATATATACTCGATTCTTCTGGTTTATTGCGAAGCCGTTACATGCTATTTATTCGTCTGTTAAAAACACGGCGATTTAATGAAACGTTTCAATTTTTTTTCTTTTATTTAACAATGCCTTCAAGGTTTAACCCCCCCAACAAAATATCTGTGGTTTTCATAAAGTTTTTACCAGTGGATATTTTTACCTGTGTTATTCTTGTGAAGTGATCATTTGTAACACATGAACAGTGCAGGTCTTTATTCATTTTATTTTTTGTGTTTCATTTTATTTTGATTTTTTTATCAGTCTATTAAAATGGTAATTCTCATGTTTAAAGAATTCTGTGAACGTTTTAGCGAAAGAATCATGATATGTATTTTGGCAACTCCATGGAAAAACGGAAACGTTAAACCTTTTTTATTCTGCATCTGAAAACTAAATATATCTAATTTGCGTTCTGCATATATAAAATAGAAAAGCATAAACATGGATTCTGTATTTTTTATTGATTCCGTCACCTCCACACACTCACGAATACAAATATAGCAAACAACCATAAACCTTTATAAATTTAGTAGATAATCATAAATTTATACAATACACAATATTTGTGTATATATTCATAAATAAACCATTTTCAGAAGAGAATAACGCGTGAAATCATCTGTAAAATAGGGAATTTAATATTATGTTTAAAAACTGAAATAGGTTTTCTTAATTTTTTGTATTTATTCAAGTATATTTTACACAAGACAAATTGACATTTTACCTATTTTTTAATGTTTTTTTCAAAAGTATAACTACTTTAAAGGATTGTTCCCCAGGCTTTAAATAATCAAAGACGTTTATAGCATTAATATATCAAAATTCCATTGCTACTTTTATATAGCAATATCATGCTTTTATATAGAATATATTTGGAACATAAATGTTGGTCAAATAGCAACTATTCTCGTGGACTCTCTCTCTTTCTCTCTCTACACACACACACACGCACACACACACACACACACACATATATATATATATATATGCACATGCATATAAGCATATATATATATGCATATGTATGTATATATATGCACATGCATGTATATATATGCACATGCATATAAGCATATATATATATATATGCATATGTATGTATATATATGCACATGCATATAAGCATATATATATATATATGCATATGTATGTATATATATGCACATGCATATATATATATATATATATATATATGCATATGTATGTATATATATGCACATGCATATATATATATATATATATATATATATATATATATATATATATATATATATATTATTATTATTTCTATTATTATTATATTTTTATCATTATATTTTACATCGCTACATAAAATTTCTAATTTTCGGAACTTAAAATTGTTCTTCATCAGGCGATGGTAGGTAACCTATGATCTGATGAGGAACAATTTTTAGTTCCGAAACTTAGAAATTTTGTAAAATATTATGATAAAAATTATTATAATAATATTTTGGTCTACGTTGTATTGAGCACATTCTTGAAATAATTAAATTCTAAGAACAGTGGATTTTTCATCTCACTGTTCTTTATCTTATTTGTGTGTTTATGTATGTCAAATATTTGGCGTCCCCTTTACATTTAATAATTAATAAGTTTCGTAATTTGTTTAGTTTAATTACCTCCTAAGTATTTAACTAATTAGTGCATGGCGTCTAATTTAAATTTAAAATCCTCTCTCTCTTGTCCGAACTGATTTAATATTTTATTTTGATAAAAGCAAGTAACTTTCAATTTTATGTGATTTTTTCTGAATCGATAGATTGGTCCCAATATTTTGGTTTATTACACACACACACACACACACACACACACACACACACACATATATATATATATATATATATATATATATATATATATATATATATATATATATATATATATATATATATATATATATATATATATATATATATATATATATATAGAGAGAAAGTGGGAGTAAAAGATGCCATGTTACAGGGATCGAATTCATACGCAACTTTTAAATAATTATTTTATGTACTTTATTCAATAAGTAATAATCTAGTATATATATGATTACATTTTATTTCTTAATCTTAAAAATATTTTATTTCGAAATATATGTCGTTTATTCACACCCTGACTTGCCAGCTTGTCATTTACATGGAACAATTAGTTCAGTCAATTTTCTTTTCATTAGAATAAACCCACCGAATAATACATTTGTCAAAATATAGCATTTTTAGCTACTGTTAGATTCTAAAAAATATGGATTTTTAAAGAAACACGTTGCTTTCTTGTTGGCTATATGTAGTGAAAATAACCCCAAAACTTGTTAACTCTTCTTGATAACGACTGCATACGGATGATATACATAGACAGTGAGACAGAAATCCTCCCTGTTGTCAGAGGATAAACTCGTAAATCTCGAAAGATATGTGGATTACTAATGATTCTCATAGCATATTTAAAAATCAAGTTTATTCTCAGAGATTAAATTATGGAATCTTTAAGATCACTATTACCGTGTTTGTCTCTCTGTCACACTGTCTCTCTATCTCCCTGTCTGTTTTTCTATCATTCTGTCTCTCTTTCTTCTTGTCTGCTTCTCTGTCTCCCCGTCTGCTTCTCTGTCTCCCCGTCTGCTTCTCTATCCCCCTCGTCTGCTTCTCTATCCTCCTCGTCTGCCTTACTCTCCTCCTGACTCTCCCCGTCTGTCTGCCTCTCTCTCTGTAAATCTGTCTCGATGTGAACAGACTCTGATACTTACATATTCAGACATAAATACCATACGTGCATCCCAAGATCATTTATTCTAATGTTAATTGTAAGCATTACTTAAACATTTTCTCTATTCAAAGTGACACATGTTCGTTTAGTATCGAACCTTATTTACATTAGCTTCAGAAGATATGAACTGAACATTTTGTTAGATTTTCAGATGCAATTTCAAACATTCCTACATATTTTTTATTTTAATTTTTTCTCACCGCCAGGTGATTTAACTATTTTAACATTAGTTAATTTGGGATTAAAAACAAAATCCTGATAGTGGCTAAAAGTGGATTATGAAGAAACTTCGGACTTAAATTAATTTTTCTGAATTCTAATCTAGTGTCAATCCAAAATATTTAACTTTATGTTAAAAATAGAACAAAATATTAAATTACAGTATTCCAGTTTTATATACTGTTTGTGATGAGAGAATATGACGTAGTTCATTTGTGTAATACTTTCTTTCCTGGAACAGTTTTTTTTTTTTTTTTTTTTTGGACGCAGCTGTTATTTTTCAAGATGGTGGCGGGGCATTTACAAGTGTTTATTTAGATAGTGTTCTGATTTCCCTATACATGCAAAGACAGGAAACTGTGCAATGAGAGAATAATCGTTTTAAATCGTCCAAAAGCCAGGGAAATCTCTATGTAGGTAAACGGATTATTTTTTTTTTTTAGAAAAAAAAATATTACTGATATCTGTATCAGTGAAAAGCTACATGTCTTATCAATACTGAATTAAACGCAGATAGTCTATAATCCATGTTATCATTTTTTCTCTTTTCCTTCTTTTTTGATCCTATTTATTTACTTGTTTTTTTTTTTTTTAGATTAAAGAGATTTTTTTAGGTTTAAATAACACATTTTTTTGACTGAAAGAATTGTCAATTTTTTTTTTTATTCCAAGGTCTTATACCCTCAAAAATGTAAGAAAAAATACGAACCACATATCTTTTTTCATGGAAACTAGTTTAAAAAATCTTGTGGAGAGGAAAGACATTGTCACTCGACATAAAAACATCTTGTCGATATTCCAAAAGGGTTACTTGATAAATAAACAAATCTTTATTTATCATAGATATTGTCTAAATTTAATCAGTTTTTTAAGAACCTGTTTTCTAGAGAAAAAAAATTGTCTTTTTTCTTATTTGCTCTTTAATATTATGCGATTAATCATTATTTTTATTCTCTGACGTATTCTGTCTAACATTTTTATATTTTTCCCTCTATGTTTCGACCGGTGTCTTTTCCAACCATCGAAAATAACAAAGATAATACGATTCTAAATAATTTCTTTATATTAGCACTTTTGCTTATCTTCAATTTTTCATTTTAGATTTTTTTGACGACAGGTATGAATGTGAAGAAAGGTTTGAAAGGCATGTGGCGCCAAAATTATACAATTTGATTACAGAAGAAAAATGATTAATTATATATTTCTCAATGCCTACACATATGTATGTTGATAAGGCACGAAAAAGATCAAATAAATTTAGAAAGAATCATGCTCGATCTAAAAGCAAAAGAATTATAATATTCTCTGTTTTTCTTAATGTCACGTCCCTTTAGAATGTACGCAATCGTGGCTCTCCACAGCTTCCTTTTTGATATCTTGAATTGACATAACTTCTTGGCATAGTTAATGGAGTGGTTGTCTTCTCAACTATTTTAAATTCAGTCCTTTTTCCTGGTATGCCCGCTAAGGCTAGAGAGAAATGTTTACCATTACTATGGTGGGGGAGTGAGTCAAGAAGAAACGGGTTCATGCCTTTTCTTAAGGGAATTTGTACGAAAGAGTACGTAACATACTGGGCTTGGATTTTAAATCGATTCACCGTTTTTATTTTCTCTTGACAATCTACCTTAAAATACTCATCACAAAAATGGGGATAATCTACTTTGTTTTTAATAGAATGGACTTTTTTAAAAAAGTGTTTATTGGTTATTCAAAAGTAGTAGTCAACTTGTTTTCAGGATATGTTAAAAAAATAAAAATAAACTCGTTTTTCTTCCAGGTGGGTTATGTTACGGAGCTAAATATTTGTCTCGCTTCTCTTCGCAATAGTCACAGAGACTTCCGGTTTGTCTGAACAGAATTTTTTTTTTCTTCTATGTGCTCAAAATCGATAGAGGGAAAGACGGTTATATAGATACAATGGGCTGCGGAGACGCCTTGATAAAAGGGACGAAGAAATCGACAGGTTTGATCGATAAAATATAAGGCAGGTTGATTTAAGAGTCCGAGGTGATGAAAAAAAAATGTGGAAGACAGACGGATGGATGCGTTGCGAAAGAAAAATAAAGGGAAGAGATAGAGATAGATAGATATATAGAGATAGATAGATAGATATATAGAGATAGATAGATAGATATATAGAGATAGATAGATATATAGAGATAGATAGATAGATATATAGAGAGAGATATATAGAGAGAGATAGAGAGATATAGAGATAGAGAGAGATATAGAGAGATATAGAGAGATAGAGAGAGATAGAGAGATAGAGAGAGATAGAGAGATATAGAGATAGAGAGAGATAGAGAGATATAGAGATAGAGAGATATAGAGATAGAGAGATATAGAGATAGAGAGAGAGAGAGAGAGAGAGAGAGGACGATAAAAAGTGAGAAGCAGATGAAAGAGACTGTTGATAATTGCAAGAATATCTTTTTCTCAGTAAGTCTGTAAGTATTTTAGAATGGAACAAACGCATAATAAGCATATATCTATATAATAAGAAACGACACAGACACACAGAGACAAACACACGCGCACATATATTTTTTTCTTTGTAGATATTATATTATCACAATGTGAGATATTTAACAAGAAATATGATAAAAAGAAGAGCATAAAGAAACAATGAAATTGGTCAGACTAAATACCTAGACAATTCTAAAAAAAACATGAAATAAAATTTAGAAGTTTAAAATTTTTCAGAGTTCAAATGTTTTCGGTGCTTCCTCTCCGTGCATAGTAATAAGCAACGCTTGCATTTTTATACCAACGCTCTCCTTCTTACAGATATATAATTCCACCAAGAGACACATTACTTTAGTGACTCCGATGAAATCCTAAAGTATTATACGCGTCACACAATTATGTTTTTAATTTGTCATTAATTTGCCTAACATTTTTCTGATATATAAAAATTTAAATTTCATATACTCCTCCAATATATATATATATATATATATATATATACACGCACACAGAATATATATTATTTGACATTAAGAAATACACTCATAGACATACATACATTCATACAAACATGGGTGTGTGAGAGAAGGAGAGAGGGAAAAGCTTTATAACTGTCTCAAAATATTATAATATTATTATTTGATATTTGTTCAAGTTTTGAATATAGGTCGCATTATATATATATATATATATATATATATATATATATATATATATATATATATGGGCATAAATCTATTCATATAATGCTCATATTGCTTCTATATGTTGGATATTAGTATAGCTTCTTCCTGTAACCTAACATATTGCAACTAATGGAAAGATGATTGGGCTCAATTCATTTCACCATTCAGGTGAGCCTGTTTTTTTTCTTGTGCATCTACTTTGGAAACTATATTATTTCCCTAGTTCGTTTATTATTATTATTATTATTATTGTTGTTGTTGTTTTTTCTATAACTGTGTTTCCAATATCATACATGTATGAAATACAGAGCTATTTCACTTCCCATGCAGGAAGACCTTGTGTGTGTGTGTGTGTGTGTGTGTGTGTCAATGCTTAATGTGTATATCTAAGAAACTGGTATAAATAATGTACATTAAGAAACCAATTATATTATCTGATTATAAATGACGCGTGATTGTAGGGGTAGAGGGACGAATTAATCCAAAACACACATACACACACATCGAATATATATATATATATATATATATATATATATATATATATATATATATATGTGTGTGTGTGTGTGTGTATGTATGAGTGTGTGTATGTGTGTTAGATAAAATGCGGGTATTGTGCATAGAAATTAATGCGATATGTTGACTAGCTGTTTCACGCATTAGGTGATCATCTTATATCTACAAACATTATTTTCCCGATCATGCGCACCATTATCTTACACACACACACACACACACGACATACGCACCCACACATATGTATCTGTTGAGACAGAAAATCACTAAAAAGCATCTCCCTCGTGTATGTCGTCCATATATATATATATATATATATATATATATATATATATATGGGAGGAAGTCTAGTAAAGCGATAGACATTGTTATTAGATACTTGGAAAACATTGTTTTGTTCTTATTCGTCTAGCAGTACGCTATCAGTCTCCCTGTGAAATATATTTCTCTCTCCCTGTGCTTATTTACATAATATGTATACATGTCTGCTTGCCTGTGACCAAGCAAGTTGATCACCTTTCGCAGCAAAGGTGGCAAGATTCGCATCATTTAAAAACGCAACAAAACTCGCTCGCGTGAGTATCCATATTCGTGTGCATGTTATTTAAAGCAAGAACGATGAGTGTACGAACGACAGGTTACAAGCCGCCATTGTGTGTGTGTGTGTGTGTTTGTCTGTCTGTCTATCTTTCTCCTTCTCCGTTTCACTGTTTATTTAATGTACGCACGAACATCACTTTCTGCTAAAGACGTTTACGCCTTTTCACGAGAAGGCGTGTTAGTGGCTGGTCTTTTTACAAATCCGAAGAGAGACCAGGAATCCAGCATCCTTTCTCTCCCGCCCGCAACCTTGTCTACAAGCACGGACTGTGTACACCCACGATGAATGTGCGGTTTCGTGTGCTTGTAAAATCCACAAAGTGGGATCATAAATATCTACTCGTAGGAATTAAGTGGTCGAATGAAAGGCGCATTTTAAAAACGAATCTTAGCAGAATCACAATGATATCGGCCTATTTTATTTATCTTACCGACTTAGGTATGTAAGTACGTATGTAAGTATGAACACGTGTATTTACATATGTCAAATCTTGTTCGACTTAGACAACTATATAAACATTTATGTTTCCAAAGGCTTATATGCAGGGTAGAATTTGCTATAAATTTACATGTACGTATGTGAGTCAGTTTAACCCATACACAACTGATGTATAGGGATTTTCCAAGCGTAGCTTAGAAGTGGCACAAGGCCGAAATATAGGGCACCCAGTATGGATCGAACTTACTAGTCAGTCTTAATTGTTCGAACGATATAAGCTTGCTAACTATTACACCGCCTCGAAGTGTCCCATAGTGATTTTCCAAGCGTAGCTTAGATGTGGCACAAGGCCGAAAGTAGGGGGCGCCCAGTGAGGATCGAACTCACTAGTCAGTTGTAACTGTTCTAGCGAAACAAGCTTGTTAACCATTACACCGCCTTGGTGCTCCAAAATATAACTGATGTTTACGACTGGAAATATGCACGTTGCGTAATACCTCCGAAGATCCCAATCGTTGTGGGGGGGGGTAACTGGGGGCTTTAATCAGGGTTTTTTGGCCCTCCCTATCTTATCAGCATTTACGTTTTTCTACCTACTTTTATAGGCGTTACAAATTAAACTAAGCACAATTGACTGTTAAAGGATGAAAGATTTTTGGGGGGTTTTGACGTCATTCTAATTTCTTTTATTCTCGTTCAAATCCGTGAATTTGTATTGATCCTGCTATGTCTCAAAAACATACTATATAAAATTCAATTATTTTTATCCATAATATTGGACGTGTTAAAATTATTCAACTATTTAACAAAAAAAAAATCTCAAATTGAAACTTGAAAATCCCGCAAAATATTGCTAATTTATTTAGATACATTGTATTTATTTTTATTTTATCTAGTTGAATTGTTTTCCGATATTGCATATGATATATTATTGTACATACTTAGGTTACAATAAATTTTGTATTTCATATTGATAAACCCTTATGAAGATGTACTAATGTGCCCCCCGTATCATAGATTCGGTGGGTGCCCACGAAACCCTTGTACCAGCCCTGATTAGTAATATTAAAGTAGTTATATTTTTTTATTATTACGTTATATTACCATTTTGAGTTAAGATAATACTTAAAGAAAATCATATTAAAATGGATACAAGCTATATATTCTCATAAAATTTTCATTAAATTCAGCATTTTCCCTAACGCTTAGTTATATAATAAATTATATTTTTAATTATAAATGTCCGTTTTTCTTTAGATATACGCGCTTTGTTTTTAGCATAAATATTTTATTTATTTTATCATTAGCGTAACCTATTTATTTTATGTATTATTGTAACCATATTTCTTGTGTTTTTTTTTTAAATACATTTCTTAGATATAAATTGATCTGTTCACGGATACAGTAAGTCCCCGGGTCACGACATTCGGGAACTACGACGATTCCTGGATACGACGCAATATCCATTAATCATGTTTCGACTTATGCCATTTGCTTCGTACATACGACGAAAAACGGCGCAGCGGAATTTTTTTTTCTTCCCCAGATTAGCTTCTGCTTCCGAATAGTGCAAGAGAAACGAGATCTTACGCATCGTCATTCTTATCTACCGAGGGCCAATGACATCACTGACAATAAATATACAAGCAGTTTAAAACAGTTTCGTTTCATTATATTTATTAATTATATTTATGTCATCCATGTGTTTTTTAGTCTTAATTATGTTAACATATGTCATAGCAATGTATTGCTATGTCCTAGACTATTATTTTGCCATTGCTTTAGTCAGCAAAGGTGAGTGATGTATGTGCATATCGACAGAAAACTCGCGGGTACGTTCCGACTTACACGGAAAAATCGCTTAAGGACGTATTGTAGGAACCGAACTCTGTCGTAAGTCGAGGAAACCTTAATTTAACCATTATGTTTTATGTAGCGGACTTACCATGGTAACGAATTTTCCTGAGAATTTGTTTCAATTGTTTCAAGAATTCACGTTTAGAGCGAAACGTTAACAAGAAAAAAAAACATACAAACAAAAAACATACAACCAGTTTTCACGTATTTCATATTACATACATTGTTCGTATATTTCTTATCAATCATTTATCATTAATACGTTAGTTTATTTCTATGAAGAATATGTGGAAAGTTTTTCATGTAGCCAGTGATGTCACGATGAACAGTTTATTAAAATAATATCTAAAAATTTGCATTGCCTCCGAATAGTACGTATATATAGGTAAGCCAATACGCCGGTGGCCAAAGCTTGAATGATAATGTTTGACACATTTCTTTTTTTTTCCAACATAAAGTCCTTCCTTCTCAAATTTTAGGTGTGAATACTAAACATATCGATCGAAAATTATACTGTGAGAATTTGAGACCAATTTTTAACTGATAATTTTGTGTTAAACTACAGACGTTGTGATCCACTCTTGTATAATGACAAAGCTATATCTCATGACAGAAATAGGAGTAGATAGGTTCGCATATCGTTCTGTTCACACTCCTTCCCGCTCTTGTAAACAGGAGTAGAGGTTTATCCTTTGTTTCCTGATTGGGTATTCGGTTCCTTCTAAAGTTTTCTCATTTTCTTCTCCCTCTTTGCAGACCCTTGCGTCGTAGTAGCATTATTGCCTTGAATGGGTTAATGGATAAAATATAGGTATAGCGCAAAAAAACAAAAGAAGAGAGGTGTTATATACCGTACCTATGAACACTAATGGGTATGTCCCAATCCTCATAAATACGTTGGACACTGTTGTAAGTGGG